ATTTAATGTGTTAGGAGAGCACTGAACTGCATCTCTGTGATCATGTCAAAACAGGCAGTATGTCAGGTTTTCCCATTAATTCTCTGAACTGAGCATGGCCCAGGGCACACCAGGGAGGTGTGCAACTGGCAAGTGAAATTACTTGTCAAAATATGCACGTAGCCGAGATAATGTGAAATTGTAAACATCAGTGGAAACTTAGGAGCAATTTTTCACACTCTGAAGAGGCTTATATGAACAGGGTGGGCATGCTGAATGCCAATGGCTCCCCCTCAATGATTATACATAGTGCTTGCATATTTCTGACTAGTCCTTGGTCTGTGCTACAATTGCCTCAGGAGCTTGGTTCCAGTCTATCAGGTAAGTGTTGTCCTGCTCCCACTGGGTGGACCATCCACTGGATAATCTTCCCTCAATGGTCACTTAGCCAGTGCACTAGCAAATTGGTTTAATTTCCAGGATTCTTTATGGCAGTGGTTCCAATTCACAAGTGCTGGTGCTCTTAGCTTAGGATTTCCCCCCTTCTCTTCACAGCCTGACAAACTGTTGCCGGTGCTGGTTGTTGTTTAATGAGGATTTGTGGTAGTTCTGGGTGTATTGCCTTTGCCTTCATTTCACCTGACTGCAGTTCCCAATTCATGATCAGACCTCTTCAGCCTTGTAGTTTCCATAGAGAATGGGGACTCCTGGGGAGGGGCTGAGACTAGCTATTCTTCATTGCTTTTGCCAAAGGTTGAAGATGACATTGCTAATGTTGGTCTGGTCTTGTTTCCCAGGTTCTGTTGATATCCCCTGCTGAGATAACCAAAGTTCGAATGCAAACTCAGAAACCACATCACTCAGTTGCAACTTCCGATCACAGCTCCAAGCCCAAGTATCGAGGATCTATGCATTGTCTGAAAATGATAGCAAAGGAGGAAGGTTTGGGGGGTTTATACAGAGGGTGTTCAGCACTATTATGCAGGGACTGCTACTCATCTGCCTTATATTTCCTCACATATTCTGTCCTATGTGATTGGCTCACTCCAGCTGGGAAAAGTAAACCAGGTAGGTGGAGCAGGCCTGCCCACAAAATGACTTGGTTTATATTGTGCTAGGAGAGAAGGCATACTCTTAATGTACAGAGTTTTACCCACCTGCTAGACAGTTCCCTCCAAATGTGTCCTTATCACAGGCTGCTTGCTTTTGTTTTCATTCACATTTCATTTAAATGCCTTCCAAAGTGGTTTCCTTTGGTGACTATATCAAAGCATAGGTGAGTGTTGATCACCCTGCAGTTGCAGGCCCCACAAGCTAAGCTGCATTGGGTGGCTTTCACTAGTTGAAGAGTGGTGGTTCCCTGAACAATCTCAAGCAGTCCTTGGCCCCCTGAGCTACAGAAATTAAAAGTACCAATCACTTGCCCCTTGGCTGCCAATGCACATGTCCCAACAGGACTCCATACACCAGAACTCAGCAGCAAGCTCTGCTTGCCCTGCCCACAAATTCCCAGCCCCTTCAGGAGCCCCGCAGGCTGTATGTTTGACACCCCTCATCCAGAGGAATCATGCTAGCTAAGAATAAATGCAGATGCTGCTGGAGTGAAACTTGGCAAATATTTAAAATGAAGAAGAACCTGCTTAGTTCAGTTGGAACCAAACTGCCATAATTTAGGCTAAACAACAAAATTAGAGGTTCAGAGGCTATTCATGCTAGACAGAAAGGGATTGAAATTTGATGTCACGTGCTGGGGCCAACGCCCTTCTTTCATCTCATGTGGTCTGGGGGTTGTGCTGGACTGTGAAGGCTGCAACCATCCAGGTTGTGGTACCTTTACTATGTGTGTTATGGCCCAGGAACTACTTGTGCCAGGTGCTGTATGAATACACAAGAAGATGGTTCCTCCTCAAGAACAGACACCTAGCAATGATTTGGAGGCAAGGATACAGTTTTTAATGACAATTTGAACAAGCCATTTAAAGGGAACAGAATTACAGAATTAAAAGGAAGAGCCTCAGGCCCTGTCAGGCTTGTGTTTTCAGAGGGAAGGACTGGCTACACCACTTTTGGTAGCAGCTCAGGTTTCTTTATGGCTCCTGGGGAGTGACTGCCCAATTCTGCCTGCATTGTGAAATCACATAGTTCTGCAAGTGAGATGTATCTTCTGCAGGTAGTAGTGCCCACAAGCCCTGCTCAGCCCTCAGCCTGAAACCCAGGCTGTGAGTTCAGTCACAAAAACAAGCCTATCATGTTTCCTAGTATGCAAATAGCCCCAGAGTCATTATGAAATACTTTCTAGTGTGGGCTGAATCCAATGTGAGATGCTTCAGCAAAGAGAATCTCAGCAACAGTTACAAGGCAACTGCAAATAGAACTGCAGAGGAGCCAGGAGCCCTAGAGCCCATGGCATCTGACCCATTGTAGTGGCAGGGGCCCGGCCAGCCACAAAACACAAAGCTGAGGGGCGGGCCCCACCCCAGCCATAACACACAAGGCTGGCTTTACTGGTGGATTATGTGGGCAACTGCCCAGGTTGCTGTGGTCTGGGGGCATGCTGCATGCACACAAGCACTCTCTGCCCTCCCCCCCAATGTGAGCAGTGTGTGGTCACAGCATCACCCTCCTCTTCCCCTTCCCCACCCTGGCCTGGCCAATCCCTGGCCCAGGCAGGAGAAGTGGTGCCCAGCCCAATCCACCCCTTCCTCCAGCCACTGCTCAGGAGGAGCCAGGCTAGGCATGTGCAGGTGGGGTGGGACCTGCTCCAGTCCACCTGCCTTGCTCCCCTCACAGCAAGTGGTGCCTGCCCACCTGCCTGGCGCACCGTACTGTTCCACCTCCCCACCAGACTGTGCCCCATGCTCCTGCCTGCAGTAGTGCAACTTGAGGGGTGCTAAAATACAAGTTCACTAAGGGGTCCATTCTCCCAGAGGCCAGCCTTGGTATCACATACTACTTACAGCACATGTAGGAAGCAGGCTCCTTGCCAACTATCTGGGCACAGTGGAAAGTCAAAATATATTTAAAACGTGGCACTGGAAGTATGTACATGATCTGTCTGGGAGCCTATAGCACTTACTGCCACAGGAAACAGAGACTAACAGCAGCCAGGCTAACTCGAGTCCTAAGGCACAGCTTAGTCAAGCACTAAGCTTTGTCTGTGGGCTGAAGGACATTCCCTTCCTATTCCTCAGTTGCTTAACTGGCAGCATTCATTAGACTCTTTTACCTGTTCTCTGGAGGCAGGACAGATGGGCTGGCAGCTGTGTGGTGTGAATTGCTCTGGCATGTGGTAGTGGTTCCTTACTTTGATCCTGCAGCCTACCTTTAGAATAAGTGTGATCCAAGGACCACTGCAGACTACAGGGGTAGTGTGGATGGGTGGGCTGTGGGCCTGTGCATGGAGCCCCACATGTAGCTGTGTGTACCATACTCCACATCTGCTCCCAGACGCAGCCCCTCCCCATGCACTGTCGCATGCAGGCCACTTAATCCCCAACCCCCACAGCCAATTTCCCTTGAAGCCCCGTGGCCTACCTTTCTTGTCAGACATGCTGCAGAGACACCCCAGCTAGCTCTACAGCCCAGCTTTCTCTGGAATCAGTGGATCCCTTTCCAAATATCTTGTTGCACAAGGCAGCCCTGTGCTGATATAATTCTCCTGAACAGGAGCAGCACAGGTGCCTGTGCATAGTGCAGTGCTATGGAGTTGGCCATACTGCTCCCCGCTCAATGGTACAATGTCTTATCACAACCATTTGCGGGGGAGGGGAGGAAGGATCAGCTGCCCCCACTGCATTTACCTTTGCAACCCACCTGTTAAGAAGCCTCAGTATAAGAAATTTGCGTGCTGTGATGATGGGAAAAAATCTAAATTGCTAGACAGCACAGAATGCTCTGATATGACTGATAGAGCCAATAACCAGTATTGAACAGACAGACTATGGGGGAAGGTAATGAGGAGCTGCATGCAGAGTGTGATCTTACATATAGTTCTTTTGGTTTGTCCAACTGTACAACACTACCTTGTGGTTAAGAACAGTGTCTATCCTCTTCCTTAAAACCATTCCAGAGTTAGATGGGAAAAACATTTAATGCTGCACCCATCTCCTTAGCCACCTCTGGGTAACTTCCTATTATGACTTCTCTTTTTGCAGACATACTTGCTGTGCTTGTTTCTGGAGGCTGCGCTGGAACGCTGGGGTGGGGCGTAGCAACTCCTATGGATGTCATTAAGTCTCGGCTGCAAGCAGATGAACTAGGACAACACAAATACAGAGGACCGATGCACTGTGCCAGAGAGAGCGTGAAAGCAGAGGGACTCACCGTTCTTTTCAAAGGACTTGGGTTAAACTGCATCCGTGCTTTCCCTGTGAACATGGTGGTGTTTGTTACATATGAGGCTGTACTGAGACTTGCAGAACATCTTACTAAATAAAAACACGTCACATCATTCTCTTCTAAGGTGGCTGCCTTCTTTAAGACAAATTTCATATAACCAGTGTTGAGGTGTCTGATAGTGGAGATCGATCCTGGGTGAAATCAGCACATTTAATAGAATGGAAAACATCAGCAAAGCAGCTCATTGATGTTTTTCTTGCAGAGTCCCAGACTAGTCAAGACACCTCCTGCTTTTCTCCAAACTTGCTCTGACGCGCTCCCAGCCAGCCTGCGGCTGCTGCTCAGGCAAGATGCACTTTCACAAATCTTGGTGTTTTGCTGCCCAAGCGCATTCCGTACAGTCAACATTAAACATTCAAATAGCAGCCCCTCTGAGTGGGAGCTCATGGGAGAGGGCCAAACACCTCTCCTATCAAAACAAGACTCACTCTGGCAGCAAGACTGCCACAGCACAAGATTGGTTTTTGCTCTACATCTAATGCTACATGCCATCTGCCATTATATGTACTTACATGGCACATGCACCAACCAGGGTGTTGGATCTGTGAATGCTGGATTTTAGGGGTCTACAATTCTGTTTTTCTTAGTGTTGCCTTGACCATGAGCTGTGAAACTGCTACTTTAATAATTGCAGAACTCGTACTTCTGATAAATTCTCCCAGCTAAAGGCCAGCTAGCACAAACACTGCGTGCAGAACCGTTTGAGTGGATCCTTCATTTACCTCTGTGGTCACAAACCATTGGGGAGAGAAGCCTCAGACTTTGGGCAACCAGCAGTCAAAAGGATTGCACCCATGTTCACAATAGCAAGGAAAGAGGGGTTAAAAGAAAAACAGCAAGAAATGAAGCATAGTGCCTCCATTAAATACCAGTGGAGAAATCTGACACAGACTTCCAGTACTTTAATCCGTATTTTTATTATACTGACACGAACAAAATGCCAGTAAGTCAAGGAAAATTTAGCCAGTGATTATGAACCTGACAAAAGCTCTCAGTCATTTCACTGGAGCTTTTGAAGACTTTGCCCTCATTGACCTTTAAATACCTCTGGGATTAAAGTGATCATTTGCAACGGAAAGTTGGGAGTCTCTCAACTCTTCTTTGGGACAGAATCACACTGTTATGAGTCAGGGCTGGTTTTCAGAAGCATGGCATTGTTGTAAGCAGCCAGTGCAATATCAGATTATCCCATCAGCAAGCAAGTGCTTAATTTACTCTGTTTTCACATTCCCTTTTAGAACTTTCTAGTTGGATTTTAATAATTTAATTACAAAATAGACCTGCAAATTCCTGTGCAAGTTTGTTCTATATTGGTTTTTATTAACCAAGTTTTAACTTAACCTTGTTTATTAAACTGATTCTTAGTGATGAACTACATGGGAAATCTACAAACCCCCCCCCTGAAGTGCAAATCTTTTAAAGAACTGAAATCACTTAAAGCGTCTGGCACATGTTACATTTGCTGTAAGTTATACATAGGTATTGTTTGACAAACTGTAAATACACCAGACATTAAACCAGCTTATTCCTGGATAAAAACAGCAAATCAGCCACAAAAACTGCTTGCTGAAACAGTGACTTCTGTGACGTGGAAGTATCCTGTGAGAATTCTACGTATCTTGTATGTGGCCATTTGGCAGGTTATAATTTGTCACACAATACTTGCATATAATGCATGACAAACATAATATCTATCAGGGGCCTTAGATTGAGCCAAATTAAAAAAAAACCCTGCACAAGCATGGTTCATAGTGGAGTATGGAGAGCTAAAAAACCCACATCATTTAAAAAGTCCACCTCAACCACAGTTATATATCACTGTATCTAAAAACTTAAGCTTCTTTTATGTGCAAGGTAGGAAGGAAGAGAGCGAGGGAGATGATTTAAATTTTTTTTAAATATTTGGGAGATACCCAGAATCTATGGTAAAAAAAAACACAAAAATGATCAATAGCTATTGATAAACACTGACTTCAGTGCATTCATTAAATACCTCTGGTTTTAGTAGTGCTAGATCACAGTACTCTAGGAATAAGAAAATTAAGCAGTTCTGTTTTCAGCATAAGGTAGAAAACAAGTGATAACAAGACTGAAGCTGCTCTCTACTAACAAGCTTTAGCTTCCCCCTGGTCCCTTACAGACCTGTAACACATTGAAAAATACTCCACATGTGGCTTGGCACAACCAACGGCTCTTCCTCAGAAGCCAGACTGCAGAGTAGTTGCTAGCAGGGCCTGGGTGCATTGGCAGAACTAAGATTGGAAAGGCAGTTATTTTCCAGTATCTACCAGCTTGAGGCAGAGACCATCATTCCCCATGGTCTTCTTCAATAAGGGCCTGGGCCAAGGCCTGCTGAAAGTGAGGGGGGAAAGACCTCAGCAGGCCTTATATTCACCCACAAAACATCTCCCTCCCCACTTGACAGTAACTACGCATCTACCGTATGAACCTAAGTGTACATTTACATAGTTAAAACTACTGCATGACTGCCATATTATACCGCCACAAACTGACTGGCCTCTCCAACCCTTGGAAAACCCCCCCCAATATACTCTCAGGCCAAACACAGGGGGAATCTTAGCGTTCCATTTTGTTTGAAAGGAATTTCAAACGCAAAGCAACTATTAATAATTCTCATCACCTATATTTCTAATTCTATCAGTCAGGTCTGAGCTGTATTCATATAGTCACACATTAGATCTAGTTTTAGTGGTACTGTTTTCAGCACGGTGTAATAATAAAAGCTTCAGTTGAAATATGCATTGTTATTGCACACAGAGTAATCACACTAAGACCAAAAGGTTCTTTTTGTCAGACCATTTCCTTGTCCAAATTTGAAGTATTTCAACCAAGTGAAGTTCATTGGAATATATCTTAAAATAAATACCTCTTCACTTACAGAGACTTGCTTGTAAAACAAACACAAATCCCTTTGTCAAGCAATCACATCATGCGTTTCTTGGCACGATGAGAAGCTTTACTGGTTCCTTGTTATGGATACACAACTTGCCCGTCTCCAGTTCCTTTTGTGTGATCAAAATACTTTACAATCAACCAACTATCTGAGGGTCTGGGCATTAGGAATTATCAGTTTTACAGGTTTACAGAAATGGAGACAGGGATGTTCTGATTGCCTCAGGTCCAAGCAGAAGGGTGGATCAGAGAGGGCCTGATTCCCAGCCCCCTCCTTTGGTCAGAAGGACACTCATAGTCTCTGTATTTGGATCCTCAGACACACAGGAGGTTGAACTTTACAGGCAATGTGCATTTATGCAAGTGCAGCATGTCCCTGGTAGCCAGCTTCACAATTCAGTCCCTTAAACTGTGGTATGCAGGACCAAAATTGGAGCTTTGAATAACTTGGTTTCTCTGAGATAAGAACTTACCATTCCTAGAGCAATTTACAAGTTAGACTTCCACATTACAATGGAAACTTTTATTAATTTTTCTTTATATTTTCAACATGAAATACAATTAATAGGGTGCTTTTACCAACAGAAACACTGCTCTGAAGAGTCTGAGAAGGGTAGCATTCATATTGCAGTGAATGCAATTCTGCAGTTAACTAGTTTTCATTCCTAAATACTATTTTGAACCAGATTAATTTTTTTTTCTGAACTGTCCTTGAGCATTCATTGCAAGTAATCTGTTAATAGTCATATTTATAAACCAGTGATTGCAGCTTGCACATAATTATGAAGTGATGACAACCAACAGAGGACTATGATGATTCAATATTGGTTTATCTAGTGATAAATTAAATTACAGACATGCCCCTAAAATTCAAATGCCAGTTTCCGTGGAGTCATAAACTGTTTTACCATTTCGTTTGTGACCTGTTTGCGTCTCTCCTGATGAGCTGCTATCAAGGGCTGCAATGTTTCAATAAGCGCCTTCTTCAGTTCTCCTGTGAGCAGTGCCCCACTTGTGTAAGCCTGCCAAGAGAAGGGCAATGGGTTTTTAAAGCCTGGCTTCTGGTGAATAAAGATCTGGCTGCCTCAAAGTTAATTATTTGATTAGGTCCCCTAATATCACCCGTAAGTGCAATTTTCAGCATTACTCACTGATTTTTTTTAAAAGGTTATGATATAGCAGTATGTTACTACACAAACTATACAGACTGAGTAAGCTATGTGAGCAAAGATTTAACTTGGATATCCAGTTGTAACAATGGGAAGCCAAGCATTTTCCTCCTTAGGAGATCAAAATAAACAAAATAACATGTTTCTAGTCGTTGTCTTGAGTTTCACAAGAAAACTGTCTTACTTTTTTGTCGTAGGGTTTCCTAAGAATCCAAATATGGATAGTATAACCCCCCTTACACTATAGGAGTGCGTCCAGAAGAGCATGCACATGTGGTTTGCAGAGCTGCAGACCCCTTGTGCGGAGCTGCAAAATGCACACACCACATATGCAGGCGTTTGCCACGCTGCTAAATTTGCAGCGTGGCAGGTTTTCTTGACACCAGGAGATCCCAACGTCAAAAAACCTGTGCCAAAAAAAAGCAGAGCAGGGCAGTGCATGTGGTGGCAGCATACGCTGCCTGAAACTGGAATCTGGCCAGGCAGAGCCACACTCTGGCTGCCAGCAAGGCTCCATGTGCTTGGATCCCTGCTGCTGGAGCCCTGGGAGGCACCCAGGATTCCAGGTAAGGCTGCTGGGGCCAGCCCAGGTGCTAGCACCAGCCTCCTCTACCCTACCTGGGGCAACCTGCTGTGTGCCAGACCACATGGGCACGGCCATTCCCCAGGGACAAGCAGCAATGGCACAACTATGCGCCGCTGCTATTTGTCCCTTGGGAAATGCAAGCGTGCTTTCATCTAGATGTGCCTTAGGGCTCTGACCGTCTCTGTCCAAACTGTACTGTTTACTCATTTCTGGTAATACATGCACCTGCACTGCTTTTGAAAGTGATTTAGCAGCTCGCAAACAGGCTCAGCCTCCATTCAGTGCTATGTTAGAAACCGGTTATGGCCTGGAGAGCTCAACTTTGGTTTGAAATGGTAGCAAATAGTTTGCTCCCATCACCCCTTGCCATTCATGACACCAGTTCAAGCTTCAGCTATTGCAGACACCACTCAGCAGTGACTAAATTTCTTAATGAAAACAAAACATAATCATTAAAATGTTTTTCAATGGACTTCTGGGGTTTTTGGATTCCTCTCAGCTATAATGGAGGGCACACATACAACGGCCACTTCTGAAAGCTTCCTATTATGGCACTGTAACTGGTGTGGGTTCATTAAACTAAGCAGGTTGCAATACCATCTTTTCTTAATTTTGCACCAAACCAGCATGATGGCAAAATGTACTCTAGTGCTAGTGCCATGGAAGGAGATTTTTCAGAAAAAAAAATAAGGGAGTGGGTCAAGCATGCTCCTGAAATACATAAGGAATTAGCTATTTTAGTCTAAAAAGATTAACACAGTGTTTGGCAACCTTTCCCAGTTGTAAACTGGAAATGACCCATCCCGGGTCAGAGGCAGGCAGGAAGGTTAGTGCTAGGATGCACCAGCAGTCGGCACCCTCCCCCGTGGTGGCATGGGGAGCATGTCTGCAGCTGAAGCTCCCCCTCCCATCCTTCCCCCTGCTGCATGTTGCCAAAGCTCTGTCTGCAGGCTGGATTTGATTGCTCCATGGATCAGATTCATTTTGCAGGCCATAGATTGCTAACCCCTGGATTAACATCATGCCCAATCCTGTTTCCTTCCCTATTCAAAGCAGAGGCAAGGTTATGTGGGGGAAACGAAAGGCAGAGTGTGCAGATTCTGCACTAAGTTACTATTTTTGTGCCCCTCTCTTCCTCAAGGTGGGCACCCAGGGCTGCTGTCCTAGTCACCTGCCCACTCTTTAGTATTACTACTGCTACCACGACACCCAGGATGAGAAGAGGAGCCCATTCCAGGCAGGTCACAGAGCAAAGCTGCCTATATTTGTGACAGCTTTTGTTTGGACTTCACTGTATACTAACAGAGAACACTTTTTGACTTTCACTATGTTTATCAGATGTCTAATTGTAACTGCTAGTGAAATTTTCATGGGAGTTAGTAGCTGCAAAGACTTTTAAGGATCTGCACTCTAGACACAAGTAGGGCTTTTTAAATGATTATTAAAAATGGCGAAAAACTGATATAATTTAAATACAAGGTATGGGAGAGGAAAAACTCTCTTGCCCAAGATACCCTTACAAAAATATTAGAGGAGACAGAACAAATGACATATGTGAGGAGAAAATGCTGCAAGCATTACACACAAATCTTGACCACTCATTGGCTGGAAGCATGACAGCAACTCAAAGGAAAGAGGTGACTGGGGTAATGTCACAGCACAAGTATCTTGCCCAAAGAAGTTCACAGGCAGCCTTGGTTATAGGCTGGTCCCTCCCCACACCCTTCTGAGGGGACAGATAGCAATTAATATTTTTTCTTGGCTCCTTACCTGCTTCAATTGTTCAAGTTTGTCATCATCTTCAAGGAAGAAGGTTAGGTACATGTAAGACACATCAACATCACAGTTGCCCCCATACTTCCTGTGCTCTTCAATAGTATCTTTTCCTCCAGAGAAGGCATGTTTGTTGATCTAGAATAACATAATGGTTTGATGACCTAACTTTTCTCAAACGTTAATTACTATGCAATAAACACATATAACAAAAATCTACATTAAAGATCAGTTGAACGGCAAGTAAGAGCAGATTGTGTAGTTTTAAAAGGAAAGGCAAGAAGCCTGATTTTAATGAACAAGCTAAAGGGAGTTC